GGGGGTGTTGAGTGCACAGGTGACTAGGGCCACGTGTTCCGGACCCCACGCATCAATTCTGTTTTTCCGAAAAGCGCGGGAGCGGCCCATTTTCGCGTTTACCGGGAATTCAACGGGATTTTTTTCAGTTTCAACGGGATTCAACGGGAGTTTAATTCCCCCGTTCCCCGTTAAGAAGACACACAGGCAGACCCTGTGCGACTCAATGTAACAGCCTGCTTTTCCCATGCGCCATCTTACGGGCGTACGCAGTCCCGTGGGACCTTGGTTTGGGAGCACAAAATTATTGCTTCTGCCCAGCAGGAAGCGGGCAGGCCAAATTGGGTAAGCACATAATTTGCCTGGGTATGCGCATAATTTGAGCACTCTGGTAGTTGGGTATAACTGCAATTTGGTGGTACCAACCTTGGCCCACCTCTATCCTCTGGGCATGCAAGTACTTTGCACAACAGCCCATTTCCCGCATACCGATGCAAGTTGGGCACCGGGACTGGGTATAGAAGGTGTTCCCATCTTGTCCCTTTTCTCTTTTCTTTTCCTTTCTTCCTTAAAAAAAAAAAAACACACACACAGAACATCTGGGTTCTGGCTCCTTTTCCAGTCTGGGGAGCAGCAGTCCGGTTCGTATTCCACCGGCAAGTCATTAACAATTTACAATTTACAAGAGATACTCACCCACACTCCTCCCCATTATGGCTGAGAGGCCCGAGCGGACAACATTGATGGCTTCCATTTTGGCTTCCCTTAGGAAGGATATACCACCCCTCACCCCTGCCAAAATTAACCTCAAGGACATGTATGGTATTCCCATCTTTTAATGGGGTACAAATTTACAAAATTACTAATACTACTACAAAATTACAAATGCAGTTTTCCCTTTTTTTTCCCCATTGTACACTTAGCCCTTCCCCCCCCCCCCCAAAAAAAAAAAAACTACAGGCAGCCGTGCTCAACAATCTTCACTGCTATGTACCAGCTGAGAGAAACTTTTATCACAATTTCCACGAAAAAAAGAGAAGAGAAGAGAACCAAAAGTGAGATCTGTCATCTATGTCCAAGTCTAGTTGACTAAAGTCACTAAACAGAGGCAGGCGTAGCTGCTCCCTAGCTGAGGTTACGGGAGTTGTTGTCGGTAGTAGAGAGGAGGTTGGAGTGGGTGTTGTAATTTCACCCACAGCTATGGAGGAATGAAGTTCCCATAGCTCTCCTTCACAGTTGTCACTTCATCTTCGGGAGGGATGTCCGCCATGTGGCCCCCACATGTGTATACACAGCTCCTTGACACTGAGGAGGAAAACGGACTAGACTTTTAAGGTTTAGGGTTTTCCTCTTCTTCACAGCGGCAGTCAGAGCTGCCATTCTTCATGCTGGTCAGTCGTTTCCTCGAGATGAAACTCTTATTATAATTATGTTCCCCTGCTTCTCTCTCTCTCTCTCTCTCTCTCTCTCTCTCTCTCTCTCTCTCTCTCTCTCTCTCT